GCGGGGGGGGCGGCGAGGTGCAGCGCGCGTGCGCGGGGCGCACCGTGTCCCGCGGCGGGGGGGAGATCCCCGCGGGGAGTGACTTGGCCCCCTCCCCCCGGCTCTTAAAGGGCCCGTGTCCCCCGCAGAGCGGCGCCTCGCGCTCCTTGGACACGTGGGGAGCACAAAGTCCACGAGCGTGAACACACGCGGGGAGTATAAAACCCATGAGGCTGCACACACGCGGGGAGTATAAAATCCACGAGCTTTACTGGGAAACGGGAGGGGCGGCCCCAAGGGGCCCGAGCGGCACGGCTGCCCGCTCCTACTTGAGGTCCATGAAGCGGATGTCCATGATGAGCAGGAAGCTCTTGGGCAGCGGCCGCGGCGCGGGCGAGAGCACGGTGAACACCTGGCGCTCCAGGTCCACGCCGGTGACCACGATGAAGCCGGCCACGCTGCTCTCGGAGACGCTCTCGTCGGCGCCCTCGGCCGTGCTCACGCTGAGCAGGTGGTGCACCATGTCGCGGCCCGGCGTCACCGGCACCAGCTTCAGCTGGTTGTCCTCCTGCGACATGCCCAGCGGCAGGCACGAGTCCGGGATGGTGGGGGCGCCCACCTTGTAGATCTTCACGTCGGAGAACTTGACGTCGAAGGCGTGCGGGTAGAAGCAGCCGCGGAAGCCGTAGAAGTACTCGCGGATGCGCTCGTCCCGGCATTCCCGGCGGAAGTCCTTGGAGCGCTCCACCACGCCGCCAGACTTGGGGAGCAGCACGGTGCGCACAAAGTGCGGCAGGTCGCGCTTGAGCTCGTTGTAGAGGCGCTCCTGGTCGAGCACCACCACGACGTCCACCTCGAAGGCGGAGGCGGCGTGCACGAGCGCCTGGTAGCCCGAGCCCTTCACCCAGCCGCACGTGTTGATGACGCAGCCGCTCACGGACGCGCGCCGGTTCACCTCGCACCGCTGGTTGAACACGTCGGCCAGGCGCGACGTGATCTGCCACGAGGGAGGGCACCCGCGTCAGCGCTCGCCACAGGACGGCCGCACCGTCCCCGGCGCAAGCGGGACGCTCAAGGCCAGGAGGCTCCATCTCCACGTGAGGAGGAGCCTCCTGACCATGAGGGTGCCCGAGCCCCGGCACAGGCTGCCCGGGGAGGCCTCCAGGTGCCCTGTGGTCCCGGGATTGCACTGGATGAGCCCGAGGGGTCCCTGCCAACCTCGGCTGCTCTGTGAGCCCGTGATGGCAAAGCTCCCACCCACCCGTCCCCAAAGCAGGGAGACCTGGGCAACAGGAGCCACCTGGTCCCGCGCCCCCCGAGGCTGCCCGGGCACATGGAGCCCCCCGGGACCCCCGGGCGCCCACCTTGTTGTAGAGCTTGATGTTGGTGCCGGGCGTGGTGGAGCCGAAGTGGTAGACGAGGGGCGCCTGCAGGGAGAAGCCCTCCTCGACGTCGGCCGGGCGCTCGATGTAGAGCGCGCCCATGGTGCCGGGGATGGAGACGGAGCCCTGGCCCACGTCGAGCTCCACGAAGGTGGGCCGGCGGCCCAGGCGCACCGCGTAGTTGAGCAGCAGGCGGCACACGGTGGTCTTGCCCACGTCCGTGGGCCCCACCACCATGACGCGGGGCCCGCGCTCGTCGTCGCGCTCCGCCTGCCGCCGCATCTGCTCCAGGGCCGTGTGCGTGTTGAGGTAGAGCAGCATGGGGGTGTCCTTGGAGACGTAGGCCACCTCGGTGCGCCCGCTGAGCTGCACGGAGCAGCCGTGCCACGTGAACACGGCCACCTTGGCGCCCGCGTCGAACGTGAACTTCTTGTTGCGCGTGAGCTCGGTGCCGAACACCTCGGCCATGCCGGAGAGCAGCTCCAGCTGCGCCGTCTGCGCCGCCTCCACCTCGAAGCGCAGCTCCGTCTCCCGCTCCAGCTCGAACTTGGCCACCTGCTTCTTCTCGTCGCCGCCCTCGTCCGCCATGGCCGCGCTGGGGGCACCGGCGACGTGCGGCGTCAGGGGCAGCGGGGGGGACGGGGTGACCCGCCGCAGGGCGCCCCAGCCCGGTTTGGGGGTCCCCAGCCCTGTTTGGGGGTCCCTGACCCGCTCCTGGCCCGGGTCGGGGCTCCCCGGGCTGGCTGTGGCGTTCCCAACCCCCTCTCTGGTCCCATTCAGGGCTCTCCAGCCCGGTTTGGAGCTCCCTGACCCACTCCTGGCCCGGTTTGGGGGTCCCCAACCCCTCCTCTGGCCCAGTTCTGGGGTCCCCAGCCCAGTTTGGGGGTCCCCTGGCCTAGTTTGGGGCTCCCTGGCCTGATTGCAGGATCCCCAGTCCCTTCTCTGGCCCGGTTCTGGGGTCCCCAGCCCAGTTCAGGGTCCCTGGCCAAGTCCTGGCCCATTTCGGGGGTGCCCAGCCCGGTTGAGGGGTCCCTGAGCCGCTCCTGGCCCGGTTTGGGGGGTTCCCGGTCCCTCCGGCCCAGTTCCGGCCTCCGCAGCCCGCTCTGGTTTAGGCGGTCCTGGCCCCATGTCCGGCCCGGTTCGGGCGGTACCGGCGCCGGCCCCGCCCCCGCTCTACTCACCGTCACCCCGCCGCGGCGCCCGCGGAACCGCGGCACTTCCGGCCCGCGCGCCTCCCTAGGTCGCGCCGGAAGTGACCTCACGCGCCGCTGGGAGGGGCCGTTGCCGCGGCGCGCCCGCGCGCGAGGCCTCCTGGGAAGCGTAGTCCTGCTCGGTCGTTTGCATAAATTTGCATGGTTGCCCCGAGACCCCGCCCTCCTCATTTGCATAAGCGGTGGGGGACAGAGGCTGCCACTGAGGGCACCGCGGGTCCCCCCCCCACCGCTTTTGGGCCGAATAAAGCCGTTTTTGTCCCAAATAAAGGCGCTTTTGGGGTTTCCTTTATTTTTATTTCTGTAGGAATGTGCAGGGGGGAGGGGGGTGACGAGGCAGGGAGCAGCACGTGGGAGCAGGGAATGGGGCAGGATGGCGGCGCTGCGGAGGGGAGGAAGGAGATGGGGCGGGGAAAGGAAGGGAAGAGGGAAGGGAAGGAGGGAAGGAAAGAGAGGGGGAGGAGGAAGGAGGGAGAGGAAAGAGGAAGGGAGGAAATGGAGGGAGGAGAGGGAGGGAGGTGGGAGGGAGAGGAAGAGGAAGAGGATGGGAGGGAGGGAGAAGAGAGGGAGGGAGGGAGAAGGAGAGGAGGGAGGAAGGCTGGACAGGGAGGGGAGAGCGGGAAGGAGGGCACGGGGAGCAGGGCGGCCCCGTCGCGGTGCCGGCGTCACGGTGCCGGCGTCGCGGCGCTGCCATCGTGGCGCCGTCAGGGCTGCGGGTCGCTGAGGCGGCCCATGAAGAGCGGGAGGCCGGACGCGTCGTCCACGACGGCGAAGAGGAAGGGCCGCAGCGCCTCGAGCATGGGCGCCGAGCGGGCCAGCGAGGCGGCCGTGGCGGCCGCCGCCTCCACGCCGGCCTCGTCGAGCGCCAGCACCGCGCGGTGCCGCAGCGCGTCCACGGCCGCCTCGGGCGCCAGCCCGCACAGCTCCGCGTCCAGGAACAGCCCGTAGTCTGCGGGGACGGGTGTGAGGCCGCCGCGGCGCCGGGACACGCCGGGCACAGCGCGGTGGCGGCCACCACGAATGGTCAATGGGGCTCCAAGGGACACTGGGGGCACCAGGATGACGGGAGGCACTGGGGACACCAAGGAATGTGGTGGCCTCTGGGGGACATTAGTGGACACTGGGGTGTAGGGGGGCGCTCAGGGACACCGTGGGCTCTGCAGACATGGAGGGACAGAGAGGTTGGGGGATGCTGGGCCACCAAGGGACACCAAAAGGAGAAGAGGGCTTGAGGGGACACTGTGGGCACCAAGGGACACTGGGACAGGGAGGGTCCCTGTGGGTCCTCCAGGGCCACCAGGGTCCCTTGGTGTGATGGAGACATGAAGGGCACCTTCACGGGGCCATGTGGGGGTCAGAGGGTTGTCACCTTCCTGGAGGTGACATCACTTCGCACGCAGGGTGTAATGTCACACCATGAGAGCCCTTGCATGGGAAGTGATGTCACGGCTCCCAGGGAAGCAACAGCGCAGGGCAGCAGCGGCCATGGCCCTCCTTACCCATGTCGTGGATGATGGGCACAACATCCTGCGCGAGGTCGAGGCGGAAGCGCGGCAGGGCCAGCACGGTGGCGCGCGGCGACGTGGCGACCGCCTTGCGCACGAGGGCGAGGAAGGCGGCGGGGCTGAGCGCTCGCTCCAGCTCCCCCAGCGTCCCCAGGGCGCCCGTGGGCAGCAGCAGCACCAGGCTCAGGCCCTGGCTCAGCTGCAGCCGCCCCACCTGCGGGAGGCACCGGCATCAGTGCCCGGAGGCACCGGGAAGGAGTCCTCCACCCAGCGCGTCCCCACGGGGCCCCGCGGCAAGGGTGCCAGGACCAAGCATGGCCGCCGCTGTGTGCTACAGGAAGATGGTCATAGACCAACATGGCTGCTGTTGGGCTCTACAGGAAGGGAGGTCACTACTTGGGGCTACAGGAAGTGAGGTCATGACCCATCATGGCCGCTGCTTGGCCCTTCGGGAAGTGAGGCCACTGCCCATCATGGCCACTGCTTAATTCCATAAGTGAGGTCACAGTCCAACATGGCCACTACTTGTCTCTAAAGGAAGTGAGGTCACTGCCCACCATGGCCACTATTTGGTGCTACAGGAAGTGAGGTCACAGTCCAACATGGCCACTACCTGTCTGTACAGGAAGTGAGGTCGAGCCCGTCATGGCCGCTGCTTAGTCCTGCAGGAAGTGAGGTCACTGCCCAACATGGCCACTACTGGAATCTATAGAAGTGTGTGATCACAGTCCAACATGGCCACTACTTGTCTGTACAGGAAGTGAGGTCAGAGCCTGTCATGGCCGCTGCTTAGTCCTGCAGGAAGTGAGGTCCCAGTCCAACATGGCCACCACTTATCCCTAGAGGAAGTGAGGTCACTGCCCAACATGGCCACTACTTATCCCTAGAGGAAGTGAGGTCACTGCCCAACATGGCCACTACTTATCCCTAGAGGAAGTGAGGTCACTGCCCAACATGGCCGCTACTTGTCCCTAGGGGAAGTGAGGTCACTGCCCAACATGGCCGCTACTTGTCCCTCCAGGAAGTGGGGTGCCAGCCCAACATGGCCGCCGCTTGCTCTACCACACGTGCTGTCGGCGGCGGCCCCGGTGGCCGCCTGTCCCCGCGGGACGGCGGCGGCGCGCGCGGCCGTACCTGGGCGCGCAGGCCGGGCTCGCTGAAGGAGGCCACCGGGTACTTCTTGCTGCTCATGGTGGGCACGGGCACCGGGGGCCGCCCGGGCCGCTGGAAGGGCCGCGGCTCCGTCTCCTTGGCCCGGAATGGCTTCCGCCACTTGGCTGTGGGACGGGATGGGACGGGGCGGCCGCCGCCGCGCGGGAATGGCGCCGAGCTCGGTGCTGCCCGGCGGAGC